GGCCCCACGGTGTACAGGTGGTTCCCAGTGCAGTCTACTCCTCCCAGTATAAGATTGGCACCAATTTGGCCGTGATACCTGACGGACACAGAGATCAAAGCCTGAGAAGCCTAATAAACACCACAGTTTTTAATGAACTAATGTTTAACTCATTCATAATCCTCTGCACACGGTTACAGATGAGTGCACAACACAAACCTGTACAGCATGTCCTGTAGTATGTTGACAGCCATGACAACACGAGGGTTCCTCCCGCTGTTCAGAGAGAAGATGGTGAGGTTGGAGGACAGAAGCTCTGTGGTCTTCTCTGTATCTGCTGCTGTACCGGCTCCACAACAACTAGCAAGAGAGAGAGAGAGGAATTAGAGCAATTGTAAAAGAAAAATGAGGGAAAGAAGAAAAATAAATGGGGAATTATAAAGTCAGAGCGGGAAAGATTAAAGGGAAGAGAAAGAGGGATATGTAGAGAGCGGGCTTCTTTATCAATCTACTTTTCAGTCACAGAAATCCATCATACAGCAGAGGAAGCGACTCATTTCTTTTGTCACAGCAGCTCCAATAGCCCAGAATTTAATGCAACCACAACTTGAATCTTGGGCAATCTGTCATCAGTGGTGTGTATTTATACTGTATTTACAAGTCTTGAGTAGATTTTCTGGCTTTAACAAGAAGACACCATAGGACATAGGTTTTCTTACCAGCCTAACTTTAATACTTATAATACAAAGTGACTGTAGGGCATTCTGAGATATGTAGGAAATCCCTTAAATGGAAGTTAAGGAGTTTATGGAAGAATGTGAATCAGAAAATCAATTGACAATACTTCAATGAAAAACAACTGTAGTTTCACTGAATGTCACAGAATGATGATGGTGAGTATCTGAAGATAGATTTCTCCGCTTATGGTTTCATGTTTGAGACTTACTATATATTTGGAGAAATGTAATGGATCTTGGCGCACATCTTGTCGGCCACCACTTCACTTGATGTAGCTCTTGTGTCAGCTCCCAGCACCACCCCATCCTGCGCCAAAAAAGATGAAGTTGGATATTAGTAACCAAGGTTATTGTTCAAATGATATTTATGTGCCTGACATGCATTACATCAACAGATCTATAGAGAAAGTGCTTCATTCTCATACAACTACCCTTAAGGTGCCCTTGGGCACGGCACTAAAATCTCAGTATGTCCAGTGAAGCTGCCCAGTCACTGGCAGTGGATGTACTGGTCAGCCTTTGTGTTTTTGTCAAAGTTATGCATTGTGGAAATGAAGGTCAAAAGAAAAGCTTGTTTAGTCATGCTCCCAGATGACTGCTATACATTACTGCAGCTGCAATATTTTTAAAATAAGAAAATACCACATTCAAAGAAATGTTTCTGTGATGTCTATGTTGGGTTGGCAACGTAACTGGGTTGCCATTTGCAGGTTGAAGAGGCCCATACACTGAGAGAATAAGAATCTGTGCTCACAACTAATGAAAAATTCAAGATAAGTCATTTAGATGTTAAAAGGCAGTTATGCTATGTTACTGCAAATTTACCTTAATATTATACAAGAATTAAGGAAAAACATTGGCTACCCAGTAGGCTATGCAACCTGGTATGCTTTGAGAAATACATTCAAAAATCAAATTTATAGTTCATGGATTGAAACATAGCAAGTCACTGTTTTGGTCCGTTAATATTTTCACTTTAAACAGCTTTATACTCGCCTTGAACACAACTCCAGCTATCGTGGTGCCTGTTTTCAGAGGTTTAGGTGCCTGTCCTCCTTTAAAAAGACCCTCTAACGCAGCATTCCTAGAGAGAGAGGAGGGATGGTGATCAACAGGGGGGGGAGGTCAAGTGCTTAATATAGGTAACTGTAGGTTATAGATATAGCCTAGTAATAACCGTGAACACGTCATCCCTATATTGTTTCCCTGATTAAACTGACAAACAAGCAGGAAAAAAAGTTACTTTCACTTTAGATCCCGGTGAAAGCTCAGTGTAACCGACAGTTTCCTTTTGTATTTTCTGTCATTATCGATACAGTTTGCTGCTCAGAAGACATAAAGAGAAGATCATACCTCGCTGCGTTGTCGAAATTAAACCCAGCTGCAGGAGTTTCGAGGACATTTGATAGCGCCATACTGGATCTGACTCCGGCTTCTGTCTCGGTGCGCCTGAGGTCGCTGTTCTGAGCGTCACCTCTTCTTCTTCCTTTCGATTTTGTAGTGAAAATGGAGAAACGCTGCACGGATTCTCGAGTCAAAGGAGTCAGCACAGGGGTAAGTAAATCCGGACCGGTCCTCTATCTAGGCTACCGAAGCAGCATCAAAGCCTATTACGCGTTAATTGATCGATAACCGATTTCGCGGGTGAACAGGTGATGCTGTACCTGATTATTGACCAAACAAAAAGTGAACTTAAACCGACTGGACAATCCACGTGTTTTAATATCAGTGAACTGTTTAGTTGTTAGCTCTTACAGATGTTATTCTTTACATTTCTACAAAGAAACGACCGGCTACACTCTCAGTTTCAGGTACTATAAAAAAAAACTTGAAACCATCATCACAGAACTCTAAATCCCAGAATTCATAGCCTGCATGAATGATCACAAATCCATGACGAATAAATATGCCTGTTTATCTTCTGTTATAACCTTTTTAATGCTGGAGAACCTAAACTTTTCAGCAATCCCACTGTGTCCCTCTCTCCTCCCTCAGACCACCATCCTGGCTGCCACTTTTGATGGAGGGGTCGTGATTGGGTCAGATTCCCGAGCTTCCATGGGAGGGTGAGGATGTTATTTTCATACAGAAGAGGGACTGCTTGACAAAGAAAAAGTCCAAAAATTAAATTTGATACACAGAAAGAAAATTCTGCACATAGAAGTAGGATGATGTGGAGTACAGAACCTTTGAAAGATTTATTATAGACTACAGGTGTTTTAAAGTGGAGAAATGATGATTTTATTTAAATAACATATATAGGGCTTATAAAATATAATGCATTGTTATAGATTTATCTACCCAACATTACATAAAGTGATTAGACCTAAAACAGTAAAATGCTTCTTCGCACACAATGAATCTGTCACAGTCACAGGGGAAAATTTTCTGCATTGAATACTTTTTACATCACAGTATAGTATTTTGCTAATGTTACTTACATACTTTTACTTATGTAACATTCAACAATTTTTAATTTAATTAACAACCTCTCTTCTCCCAACTGCAAATGTTGTCTATTTTTGAGGTCTCTCTGCATTATGGCTTTGTTCATCCTCTCTTTCTTTCTCTTTTCAGAGAATATGTATCATCTAAGACCATCAACAAGGTGATTCAGGTTCATGACCGGATCTTCTGCTGCATGGCTGGCTCACTCGCCGATGCCCAGGCCGTCACCAAGGCTGCAAAGTTTCACCTGTCCTTCCACAGGTGAGACTCCCACATGAATACACTGGGCCATATTACTTAAATATGCACACAGAGAAAACATTTTCATCACTTTTCACATCACATTTCACACTGAAATTATATCAATCAAATGTCCAGACTGGCTTTTAATTCTTTTTATGACTCCTGGGCAAAGACAGTCATACACAGTTGTATTCATGCAAACTAACATATATAATTTATGTGCTACAACTGTCTCACAAAGCTACAATAAACACACATACGACTGATTCTTCACTTGTACAATTGTATAATTTGAGAATCCAAGACAACACGTACTATATTATGTCTTCATCTTAAAGTTTTGACTCTCTCTGATTTTGCTTGATCCTCCATAATCCTCAGTGTCCAGATGGAGGCCCCTCCTCTGGTGATATCAGCTGCATCGGTGCTGAAAGAACTGTGTTACAAAAACAAGGATGAGCTACAGGCCGGCTTCATCACAGCTGGCTGGGACAGGAAGAACGGACCACAGGTAGGTGGTGATTGTAAAGACAGTGAAACATCAGAGAAGCAGTGATGATGATGGTATGTAGGAAGGCCACCTTGATATTTTACTGATCTTCTCCATCCTTCTCCAGGTGTATGTTGTGGCTCTAGGTGGGATGTTAGTCAGACAGCCGGTTACCATCGGCGGCTCAGGCAGCACTTACATCCACGGCTACGTTGACGCCAAATACACACCCGACATGAGCAGAGAGGAATGTCTACAGTTTGCCACTAATGGTACCGTTATATTATTGGGATTTTATTTCATAAAATGAATGAATCAAAGGTGTAGCGGAAGATGTGCATTCATGTTTAGCAAATCCTTGTTGGGTTTGTTTTCATTAAAAATATATAATGATGAATGAGTTTGCCATAGAAATCTCTACTCAAGGTTCTCCAGATCTTTCAATAACATGTCATGGTTTTCAGTAGTTTAAGTTTGCTCAGTTGTCATGGGGATGACTTAGTTTGACGTATAGAAAATGAACCTGGAAAGATGTTTCTGCTCTTACATACTTAATACCCAAGGATCTGCAGTGTTGCATGTCCCTCTTTTATGAGAAGATTATGAAGAATTTAAAAAATTAGGTTGTGTTTCAACATTATACCCTGCATGTCTGCACTTCTCTAACTTGACCTTAATGTCTCCTGCTTTTTGTTCCTGTCTGTTTCCTTCTTCCTCTGTGCTCGCAGCTCTTGCTCTGGCCATGGGCAGAGACAACGTCAGCGGGGGCGTGGCTCACCTGGTGGTGATCACGGAAACGGGGGTGGAGCATGTGGTGGTACCTGGTGACAAGCTGCCCAAGTTCCATGATGAGTGACGACTTTTAAACAGCCAATAAAATTAGGATTTCTGCATAAATTTGCATTGCACAAGTGTATCAGGATTTTTTTCTGTGTAGGACTGGGATGTAACACTCACCTGAAAAATTAGTTAATTGCCTACTAATGAAAAACTTGATGCAGGTCTGTTTATACAAACCAAATGGTATCTTTCTCCCTTTTGTGTCAATAACGCATGTTTTGTGTTGTTTATTGTGAATAAATAGTAAATAAAACAACATTTACAAAACCTCTCTTCATTATTTAATTTAGGCCAATGTGCTTAAAAATATCTTAATGGATGTGTGATGTGTTCTGTAGATCACAGTTCTTGTTGCTAGTGTTGTCCCAAATAATTTTAAGATTCTTACACATTAGCCTACAGTGCCTATTCTACAGTACGGTATTAAGTGTTTCGTGGCAATGAATGCCTTTGTGGCCTAAGCTATTTAACTTAATGATAACCAAAGTCTGATGCACACACTTCAGTAGCCTAGCAACTTTAATGAAATGTGGGTCCATTGCAGTGAAGCTCGATTGGTTAATTTAGTACACGCAGAGCTCATTGCAGAGGAGGGACACTTTAACTTTCGATTTCGATTCAACTTAGGAAAACATGGAGTCCGCCTGATGTCTGATTTTGTAAACGCGTCTAAAACTGTTTAATAGCGATAAAGAAGGTTTCCAACAACAAGCAAACAATATAGCTACGGTCTCGTTTCGCGTCTGATTTCACATTTACTTTCCGGGCAGACAGACACGGTGATCGTACTTGTCGTTACCTTATAGTCTCAGTGCATCAGCATGTTGGAAGAAACGGGGCCAGAGCCTGAGTGGTTATCTGAGGAGGTGAAAACCGGAGTAAGTATGAGATTTTTAATGTGTTTGAGAGATTTCTGGCCTGTTCATGTGCGCTGAACACCTGTAGGCTAGCGAAGGACTGCTGGGCCACATGCGGAACTACAAGTGCGTGAAATGAATTAAAATGTTTATTGCTTCTTGATCTGTTTGTAGACAACCATCATTGGCATCGAGTATGATGGAGGGGTCGTACTGGGGTCTGATTCCCGGGTGTCTGCAGGGTAGGTTAGTGCGTGCATATGTGCGCGCGCGTGTTTGTCCACTTCTGGCTGCATAATAGCGAAGTCCTTACAGACCCACTATCTTCATATCATCTTCTTCCCCCTAAACCTCTTCACGCCACAATCACGCACACACTCACCCTCTTTATCCCTCCTTTCAGGGCATCAGTGGTGAACAGAGTGATGAACAAGCTGTCTCCCCTCCATGACAAGATCTACTGTGCTCTGTCCGGCTCTGCAGCAGACGCTCAGACCATCGCTGAGATGGTCAACTACCAGCTAGATGTTCACAGGTAAATGGGAGCGACTGTGACCCTGTTATTAAATATTACATAATGTATAGTCCAACTCTGATTGGATAACCCTGACTCCATCCACGTAAACAGTAATCAACCCATAATATGAGCATTATTATAGCATTATTTATATCTATGTTCATATTACTGGTCAGATAATAGTGTCCCCTAATGGTGTAAAGACCATCCTGAAGCTTTCTTATCCTGCCAGACATATTAGAAACTCATAATATAATACAGAAAATTTACCTGAAAGACTAGCGCTGAGTAAACTTGTTTGACTTTTATTAGAGGTTTAATGATTTTAAACATTCATCACCAGGTAACAGATTAAATATAAAGATATTAGTATTGGTTATCAATGGTGGGTCACAGTGGGGGATTGGACCCGGGTCTCTCACGCCAAAGGCATGTGTCTTATCCATTGCGCCATCACCACCCCTATCAAATGGTCTAAACTAGAGTGTTTGTCTTTATTTGTCTTTTTATGGCATACTCTACAAATATTATGTTACTGTTTGTGTTTACGGTTACAAAACCCCTCTCCCATCATACAATAACAAAACCTTTTCTGTAAAGAGAAACTTTACAAGCATATGATTAGTATTATAGCGGGGGAAAAACAATATCGTCAACCGCTTATCCTGTGTCCTGTTGACACTGGGCAAAAGGCGGGGTACGCCCTGGACAGGTCGCCAGTCCATAGCAGGGCCACACACATAGACAGACAACTACTCACACTCACATTCACACCTAAGGACAATTTTGGAGACACCAATTAACCTAGCCTGCATGTCTTTGGGTGGTGGCACATGGAGAGAACCCACGCGGACACAGGGAGAATATACGAACTCCACACAGAAAGGGGCAACAAGGGTGCAGGCCCTGCATATATAAAGTATAACATAAAATAGATACACAAGTAAATGTTTAAAATACATATATTAAGATATATTACTAATCAGAGGTGCAGTAATTCATCTCACTATTCTCCCCCTCTACTCACAATCATGTTTCTCTTGTTTTAATACACATTATACGCTACCTTGGAGTGGTGGTAGAAGCACCAGTTCTTGTCTGATCACAAATATCAACACAGTCAGGTCGTTCATAAAGTGTAAATCACTTTTTCTAATGCCACGGTGTAGGACATCTCCTTAATCCTTTAACTAGAAAATGGTCATCCTTCCATCTCAAAGCTATTGTGCACATCTTTGTCTTGTGACCGACAGAATTTAATTAGTTTACATTTCCTTCATTTATAGGAAAATCTTCTGGATATATTTGCAATAACATATTTTATCTTTTATATCCACTTTTGTCAGTATTGAGGTAGGCGAGGACCCTCAGGTTCGCTCAGCTGCCACTCTGGTGAAGAACATCTCGTACAAGTACAAAGAGGAGCTATCAGCACATCTCATCGTGGCCGGCTGGGACAGAAGAGATGGAGGACAGGTCAGTAACACGTAGTTGGCTGCAGTCTGGAGGGAAGAAATCATGCTTTAAGCAAGAAAGATCACTGGGAAACATAATGTTAAAATGAATGTTTCTGCTTCTGCTGAGGTGACCTGAAAGGGGCATTATGTAGCTGCCACTATCGGTGCGGTTCTAAGATTGAAACCAGGTGTGTGCTTGTACGCGTGCTCGCTTGAACTCATTAGCGAGCAAAATCCAAAACACAACCGCTTTCATACAGAAATCCTGCAATAAACTCAGGAACACCAGCATGCAGGCTGTGGCTTTTCACTCAGACATGTTCAGGCTCTGTTACTTCGACGTTTCCGACTCAGAGGCAGATCAACACCGGCTCCCTGCCTTTCATTCAGCGCAGCGAGCCACATATCGACACAAACCTCCTAATAAAGGAATCGTTAGCTTGCCTGCTGCTTTTCAGTAACTATCTTTACTATCTGTGAATCTGTCACTGGAGGCTCAGCAGTGTCAGCACAGCTACATGTATTGGATGCTAATGAAACGGGTAGTGAGCTGGACTGGATGGACAGTTAGAGTGCAGTAAGTAACTTTACTGTAATTAGTGTTAGTGGATGGCTCTTCCTCTGGGTTGTTGTGACCATTTTGTTGCTGTGTTGTATTTTATGTGGGTCACGTTAGTTACAGCAACTGAGAGGTGGAGAAGCTGTGTACCTGGTAAAACGACAATAAACCTAAAGTGAACGTTACAAAGCAAACAGGAGCAGGTCCGAGCTACTGTAGCGTTAGCTAGCTGCTCCTGGCTGCATCACTGTAGGCTAAAGTTAGTAAACAAATCGCTCCACATTTACTGTTACATCCTTTCTTGCAGGCTAAATCAACAGTGGTACACAAGATAGTAACATGGGTCGCGTTAGTTGTTGAAGTAATATGGAAAGCGATATCACTTTGCACCGGACACCATTAGCAGCTGCTCGGCATTAGCTAGTGAGCTAACGTGACTTTCTCTGTGTTTCTCCAGCTTTACTAATGCTCACTTTGTTCTTACTCGACATCATCTGAACCTGTTTGGTCTGATGGGCTTCAGCACATAAAACCTTATTGTTGTTTTGTATCCTTACGTGGAGCCTGTGTTTTGCTGTGAGCCGGTTGTTTTATGATGTCAGTGGACTGCATGTCCTTAACTGCCGTGTTGTAGTACGAGAGAGGCTCGGGGGCGCGCACAGGGCTGAATCCGACCCGGAGACCTCACAATAAAAGCAGAATAGTGGCTGATACAAGCAACGGAGAAAACAGATGTGTGCTTCATTTACAAGTGAGTTTTGAGCTCATTGACAATAAGGCAATGAAAATTTGATTAATTTCACTGAAAAACTTACATATAGCACTGTTGATTTAGCCTGAAAGGATGTAACGGTAAAAAGCCAATGTGGATGTGATGCAGCCAGGAGCAGCCGGTTAACGCTATAACAGTTGCTCGGACCTGCCGCTGTTTGCTTCGTAACGTTCAGTTTATGTTTGTTGTCGTTTTACCAATACTCAGGTACACCAATACTGAAATACATCCTTTCAGGCTAAATCAACAGTGCTATATGTAAGTTTTTCAGTGAAATTAATCAAATTTTCACTGCCTTATTGTCATTGAGCTCAAAATTCACTTGTAAATGAAGCACACATCTGTTTTCTCCGTTGCTTCTCCACCTCTCAGTCGCTGTAACTAACGTGACCCACATATAATAAAACACTGCAACAAAATGGTCACAATAACAGAGGGAGAGCCATCCACTATCACTAGTTATAGTTAAGTTACTTACCTGCGTCTAACTATTATAAAGTGTGACACAATGTCATTATAATATCCATTCCAGTTCACTAACTGTGTCATTGTCATTCAATACATGTAGCTGTGCTGACATTGCTGAGCCTCCGGTGACAGATTCACAGATAGTAAAGATAGTTACTGAAAGCAGCAGGCGAGCTAACGATGTAGCACGTTGGCTAAATGCAGTAAATGTAATCCTGTCATGTAAGAGCATGGACTAGTTAAACCTGGAGTTCATAAAACTATTGCTGTAACGTTGCAGTGGGAGTTTACCTGAGTTCCCATCTCTGTCTGTCTATAGCTGCTGTCACTCTGCCTTTTTTCAGGAGGTTTGTGTCGATATGTGGCTCACTGCGCTGAATGAAAGGCAGGGAGCCGGTGTTGATCTGCCTCTGAGTCGGAAACGTCGAAGTAACAGAGCCTGAACATGTCTGAGTGAAAAGCCACAGCCTGCATGCCGCTGTTCCTGGGTTTATTGTGGTATTTCTGTATGAAAGTGGTGTTTTGAATTATGCTCGCTCATGAGTTCAAGGGAGCACACGTACGAGCACACACCTGGTTGCAATCTTAGAACCACACCCCTAGTGGTGGTTTCACATTGTGAAATTGAATTAATAACATTGCTTGTAATCTGATGCCTCATTTTTATTGAGTAGATATGGTTTATCTTTTTTCTTTGATCTGTCTTGTTTCCCTTTGTTCTTCTGCCCTTTGACCTCTTTCAGGTGTTTGCAACCCTGAGTGGTCTCTTGACAAGGCAACCTTTTGCAGTTGGTGGCTCTGGCAGCTCATATGTTTATGGGTTTGTTGATGCTGAGTATCGCAAGAACATGAGCAAGGAGGAGTGCCAGCAATTGATTGTCAACAGTAAGTTTATTCTTTTTTGCCAAAGGTCTGAGATTATGTTGGATGGTGAAAGGGAAACCAAACGTGCTGCTTATTGTACCGACTGCTGAGAAGAGATATCATTCTATTATTTCATGGGATATTAAATATTTTGTCTTATAAAAACTAAATAATTGAGTTCAAACTCATCACTTGTCTCACCCTTTCTCTTATTCTGTCTCTCTCTTGTAGCTCTCTCTTTGGCAATGAACCGCGATGGCTCCAGTGGTGGCGTGGCCTATATTGTCACCATTGATAAAGACGGTGCTGAAGAGAAAGTCATTCTCGGAAATGACTTACCCACCTTCTTTGATCAATGATTGATAAATATTTTTCTAGTCTACTAAGACACTGTTGTGCGTGATGCAATTAGGAATTTGTTTTGCTCACACTAACTATTATACATACACTTTGGCTAGCTGACAACTCATTCAGCTTGAAAACTGAAATATATTGGACATAAATAATTTAATAAACTCCTCTATAATTCCCAAAGCTATTTCAGGTAATATCAGGTATCATTTGTGTGAGTGTAATTTGAAAGCTGCTTGCACCTTCAGATCACCAGATACAGCTGCGAAAGTTTGTGAATCATTATTAATAGATTTAAATAAGGTTATAGAAGAAACTATTCTCACCAGAGGGATGATGGTAAACATTATGTTAGCTCTGTCCTTCAGGTTCAGGTCAGCTTCACAGAGTTAGACATGGAAATTGTCAGTGTCCATCAGATGGACTGTTGCCACCAGGTCATCTGAGGCAAAAGTGAAAGTCACATTTGTCCACCAGAGGATTGTGTTTTTCTGCGGTTTGTTAATCCAACTAATAAAACTAGATTGACCTGCCATGGTTGGTCACCTGCATACATTATTCAGACTGGACATTATTAAAAGCCTTCTTAGATTCACATGCATTTGGAGTATAAACTGTCATCATGGATACACTCACAATGAGTACAACATATACTATTTGAAACTGTAATTTTAAATAAAATACGAGCTCCATGTTGAAACATTTTCTTTTAAATTTCTCTTCTTAACAATAAACCATGCTGGTATTATATTTTAGGGGAGAACACTGCCTCACTATGCATCACTTTTCATCCATGTGGTTAGTTTGCAGGAAAAGGATGATGATAACAAAAATTAGGCCTACAGTAAACATGCTCTTAACATCATAAACACTCTGTTTAAGAATCCTGAATTGTCCTACATCAAAGTTTAGTTTTGTGCTCTGCAGTTTGGATTTAAGGGAAGTCCCTGGTCGAGCCAGAAAATGAAACTGAAAGTGAATGAAAACTAAAACGCTGGTCCCCTAGCAGAGCAGGTCATACGAGGACGACAGTCCGTGGAAAATGGCAGGCAACACAGCAGCAATAATCCGCAAAGTCGCTGCTTTGACTTTAGCTATTTGGGTCGACCTTTCCTTGTTTTACGCATCGGGATTTGTAGTGACTCACAGCGTCTTTGGACATTTTGCGCGTCTCTGGGTTTCAGCGGCTCTCCGGTGTTTGGCACTAACTGCTGTAACTGTGCTCAGCCTCGGAGACATCAACCCGTTGCTGATTCGTTTTATAACGGCGCACAGTTTGCTGCCCGCGGTGTTTGAGACCGGGACCAAAGTGATCTACCATGAAGAGACCCCATGTGGCTTGTTGGCTGATATGCGCTGCTGGCTGATGTGCGGCGGAGCGTCGCTGGCTGCTGCACTGTTTTGGGAAATCACCATCCCGGACACCGACGATGCGTCCGCCGGTACAGAGAAAAAGCAGAAAGCCAGAGTGCTGTTTGTGAGAGTCCTCTACCTGTACAAACCCTACTATCACCTGCTGCTTGGAGGGCTTGTGTTCCTGTCGCTAGCTGTTATCTGTAAGTGCAGCAGATGATGATGATTTCAATTGTAAAGACGGGGGTAGAAATAAGGAAACAGACAGATTATAGTCAACTACAAAATAAAAAGTAGGCCTATTGTTTAAAACGGGTAATTTAATTTTCATTACAAGTTTTGTCTCGACGTGGGAACAGAAACACTGTAGTCTTGGAGGAGTTTGCAATTAGAATACAGGGAACATTCATGCTAAAGATGTTAAGATGTGCCTGGCTGATGCATGTTCACCTCTCTGCATGGATCTCATTATGTCTTCCTGTGTCTGTGTCTCTTCTCAGGTGAGATGTTCATCCCTTTCTACACCGGCAGAGTCATTGACATCCTTGGCAGTCAGTACCAGCCAAATGAATTCATATCTGCAGTCCTCTTCATGGGCCTGTTCTCTCTGGGAAGGTATGGGACAATGATTTCCTCCCACATTGATCCACCAGCATGTTTCTGTGGCTCAAATGTAATATCTGACTGATTTTCTCTTTGATTGATCGATCAGCTCAGTGAGTGCGGGCTGCAGAGGGGGTCTCTTTATTTGTGCAATCAGTGCCTACACATGCAGTGTGAAAGTCAAGCTGTTTGGGGCTTTGACCAAACAGGAAATTGGATTCTTTGAGACTATAAGGACAGGTAAGGCTCTTATATAATGAATAATTTCTCACATGAATGACAGATGTCAGGCCAGGTTATTATTGTTGTTTTCTTACCTGTATATATTTGGTTAAATACTGTACACAATACAGTTTATGTACAGTACATGGTTTTATTTAATTTACAATTTATTTTTCCAAGCTAATAAAGTCCCATTGAATTGAATTAAATGAAACTGTAAAGACAAGGCATTTCAGGACAAAACATATCAGAATAGGACAGGAATGTCTGTAATTTCTAGTCATTTTCTGTGCAGGTGAAATCACATCCAGGTTGTCTAAAGACACAACCCTGATGGGAAGAACAGTGTGTCTGAATGTCAACGTACTGCTGAGGACATTCATCAAGACACTGGGCATGATCTCACTGATGATGAATCTTTCATGGAAGCTTACGTTCCTCGTATTGATGGAGACGCCAATCACTGGCCTCATACAGAACATCTACGACACACACTACCAGGTAAAAGCAGGTTATTAAGAAACTTTAAAATTAACATTGAGATTCCCATGTGTACAGGACTCAGGACCTTCAGGCTTATTCCACTTCTGTACTGACAAAAAATCTTTTTAAATTCCTTTCTAGCGCCTGTCCCTGGAAGTGCAGGACTCAATGGCTCTGGCTAATGAGGCTGCAAATGAGGTAGTATCCAATATTCATGTGGTGCGGAGCTTTAACACAGAAAAACATGAGAACCGTCGCTATCACAACCGCTTGATGGACACACACACTCTCAAAACCCGCCGGGATACTGTCAGGGCTGTTTACCTGCTGGCACGCAGGGTGAGGAGTTGTTCATTATTTGTATTTTTTTGGAGATCAGGTGGTGTTGATCATATCACTGCATATAAACTTACTTAACAGTATTTGTTCCTGTGTGTGTTTGTCTATAGTTGACAGGTTTGGCCATGCAGGTCTTAATGTTGTACTACGGCAGGATGTTCATCCGGAGTGGGCAAATGACCACTGGCCACCTGGTTTCCTTCATCCTCTACCAGTCAGACCTTGGAGACAACATCAGGGTATCCCATAATGCTCTGTGGATTGTTGTTAGTCAGTGCTGGTGATTGTTACTAATAGTGGTAGCTTTTAAGTTAGTTAACAAATAGTTTAGCAGCTATGCAAGGCAAACTGTATTTATATACCACGTTTTATACACAAGGGAAAGTCAATGTGCTTCACAAGCTTGTTTTAATATGCACACACACATATGTGTATATAAATACTCAGCATTGAAAGAACATTCATGTCCTCAGGAAGGCTATTCTATTGGCTCATAGTTTTTAAGCATGTTGTGCCTGTCCTAAACTTTTCTAAACATAGGAGTGCTTGCAAAAAACGTGTTATAAAGTCATCTGTTTTCTGACTGCCATCTTCCAGACACTCACCTACATCTTCGGTGACATGCTGAACTCGGTGGGGGCCGCCGGAAAAGTGTTTGAGTACCTGGACCGAAAACCTAAGGTCAGCACAGAGGGAAAACTCAAACCTGATCAGCTGTCAGGACACGTCAGCTTCCGCCATCTCAACTTCGCCTATCCTGCATACCCCAACAAAACAGTGCTGCAGGTGAGGTCTGAACAGCAGGTGGACGGGGAATTCTTTGGTTTCAATTTTAGCACTTTATGAACGCAATAGCTACGTCTATATATAGTGATGCATCTACGTGTGCATGCATTCACACACACACACACACACACACACACACTTAAGGGGAAAACTGTGGCTGCCAAAGGGTGGGGAAAGTTTAAATGGACCGACCGACCAACCAAGCGAGCTATAGAATAAAACAAAAATTAATAATGGAAAAAAATTATAATAATCAATATAGAAACTTTAAATCATATTAAGTCTGAGGATTAAAATCGATAAACATTTTCATCCAGTCTGACTGTCTAGGTGTGTCCTACGTTATTGCAGTTAAAACTATTACAATCATGTTATGTCCTTCCTTCAGGACTTTTCTTTGGAGCTGAAGTCAGGTCAGATGACGGCACTGGTGGGTCCATCTGGAGAAGGAAAAAGCACCTGTGTGAGTCTGCTGGAGCGATTCTATGAGCCGCAGGATGGAGAAATCCTATTGGACAATGAACCCCTGAAATCCTATGACCACCGTTTTCTCCACAAGAAGGTTATTAAACAATACTGCTTTTTCTGATGATCACACAATGATTTGTTGGAATCTCCTGTCTTACATAATTTATATATTTTATCTGTGTTAAAGTTGTTTTATATTTCTAACCATCTTTATTAGTTATACTGATTATACTTCTGATTGTGTACTTACTTGGATGTGTATAACATGAGCGATTTGTTCAGTCAAGCTGACGAGAGTGTGTTTAACAGATTGCAGTGGTGAACCAGGAGCCTGTGCTCTTCTCTGGCTCCATCAGAGACAACATCGCCTACGGGCTTGCTGACTGCTCATTGGATGAGATCCAAGAAGCAGCACGCAAAGCCAACGCCCACGACTTCATCAAGCAGATGGAGAAAGGCTACGATACAGGTAAACTCTGTTAACCACCCGTCCTGCTGTTTTGCATGGCTGAATGCCTGCAGGTACAGGAAACCTGCTTTACAAGTTAGAAGAAAGAGGGAAAATATAATGTGCAGAGTGAGGTTGATGATGGAAAATGTTTTACTTTCATTTATTCATCTTAAACATTTACAGTATGTAAATTAAATGTGGCTAAATATACACATGCAGTATTTTTGCGCTGACCAGACCTTTTCTGCATTTAGTTGGTTTTTGAATTTTTTCACCCTAAACTACAGTCTGTTATGATTTTGATGATCTGTTATGTTGTCAATTTCTCAGAGGTGGGTGAGGGTGGCGGCCAGTTGTCCAAGAGCGAGAGGCAGCGCATCGCCATTGCTCGAGCTCTGGTCAGACAGCCACAGGTCCTCATTCTGGATGAAATAACCAGCTCTCTGGACACCGAGAGTGAAAATAAGGTATGTCACAACCAATGATGTTCCCTTCAGGGCCACAAGTTTCTAGGTAACTCAGTTAAATAGTGAGTAATACAGAATGTAGATGTAAATGAAGATGAAAACTCAAAGACTCTTTATCACAAGAGTGAATTAATCAATGAACAATAGTCAGTATTTAATAGATATATAAAGGAAGTTCTGCAAGAAAAGTTGCTCAAACATCATTGCTTAGTTAATCAGTAAGATCTGCAGTAATACTCTAAAGCTTTAAGCAATGTAAAAAATATTACTGTCTTCAGTTTCTGGCAGAAAAATCAACTGACTGACAAAAATGAAATCTTCACATATTTAGTGCTTAGTGCTCAAAGCTCTAGGGGAACTTTCAACAAAAAAGTAATTTGTCTCATAGAATAAATATGCAGGGCTTCTCTTAAATGTGTTTAATGTTTCCACCTAGCTTTAAACAATTTACATGTTAATATTGCGAGATATAGGCCTACATGGGGGGTATTTACGTAAAAAAATGTGCAACGTATGACAAATCAGGCCTGGCAGTAATAAAAGCCAAATATCTTTCCCACATCAATATAAAAGGAGCACATTGTCATTGTATTTAAGAAATGGGAAATCTCATTAACTGATAAATTAACAAAATTAGCCTGTTTTTAAATGACTTCTTGTGTCACTGGTTTTGCACGCATGCTTTGTGTGCTCCCTGACATCCAATCATATTCATTCTCAGTAAATGTGTTGCACCCTTCATTTATATTCTTTTAAATTCTCCCAGATCAGTACTGCCGTAATGTTTTTGAATTGCATAACTGCATAGGTCGAGGGAAACTATGTTACTCCTTGTTTTGTATTTTATTCTTGTATATATCACTGTACATATTTAAAGGGGCTATATGTAAGTTTTTGACTTTAATAAATCAAATTTTCATTGCCTTATTGTCAGGGGGCTCAAAACTCACTTAGAAATGAAGCGTCTGTTTTCTCCATTGCTTGTATCAGCCACTAATCTGCTTTAAATGTGAGGTCTCCGGGTCGGACTCAGCCCTGTGCGCGCTCCCGAGCCTCTCTCGTACTACAGCCACAACACGGCAGCTAACGACATGCAGTCCACTAACACCATAAAACAACCGGCTCACAGTTTATGTGCTGAAGCCCATCAGACCTAACAGGTTCAGATGATGTCGAGTAAGAACAAAGTGAGCATTAGTAAAGCTGGAGAAACACAGAGAAAGTCACGTTAGCTCACTAGCTAATGCCGAGCAGTTGCTAATGTTGTCCGGTGCAAAGTTATATCACTTTCATTTTACTTCACCAACTAATGCGACCCATGTTACTTTCCTCTGTACCACTGTTATGTCAAAGTGTCAAAGCCTGCAAGAAATGATGTAATGTCAAAAAGCTAATGTGGAGCGATTTGTTTACTATCCTATAGTGATGCAGCCACGAGCAGCCAGCTAACGCTACATTAGCCCCGACCTGCCGCTGTTTGCTTCATAATGTTCAATTTAGATTTATTGCCTTTTACTGATACACAGGTATCCAGCTTCTCCACCTCTCAGTCGCTGTAACTAACATGACCCACATAATATACAACCATGGGGAAGAGCCATCCACTACAGTAAAGTTACTTACTGCGGTCTAACTGTTATAAAGTGTGACACAATCTCGTTATAATACTCAGTCCAACTCACTAACAGTGAGTTGAGCCTCCGGTGACAGATTCACAGATAGTAAAGATAGTTACTGAAAGCAGCAGGCGAGCTAACGATGTAGCACGTTGGCTAAATGCAGTGTAACTTTATCATGTAACGAGCATGGATTAGTTCAACATCAAGCTGATAAAAATATTACTGTAACGTTGCAGTGGGAGTTTACCTGAGTTCCCACCATGTTGTGTGAAGCTGTCTCCCTACCGGTGTTGATCTGCCTCTGAGATGGGAACGTTGAAGTAACAGAGCCTGAACATATCTGAGTGAAAAACCACAGCCTGCATGCTGGTGTTCCAGCGTTTATTGCAGGATTTCTGTATGAAAGTGATTGTGTTTCGGATTATGCTCGCTCATAAGTTCAAGCTAGCGCGCGTATTATTGCAGCAGCTGGGTTCAAGTCCAGCTTGTGGCCCTTTCCTGCATTTCGTCCTCCACTCTCACTCCCTCTTTTTCAGCTGTCCTATTTGAAATAAAGGCTAAAAAGCCCTAAACATATCTTGAAAAAATACTGTATATCTAAATATTTCTTCCAGGAACTTTTAGCTCTGCTTCGACCTAAAAAAGATACCTGTGATACACCGTATAATGATATAATAAATATTTCTGTCACTGACTCTGCACAGGTTCAACAGGCTCTGGCTAGTTGCCCCAACCAGACCCTGCTGGTGATCGCTCACAGGCTGAAGACCATCGAGAAGGCAGACCAGATCATTGTGGTTGGTGAAGGCAAAGTTCAGGAGCGAGGGACTCACCAGGAACTGATGGACAAGAAGGGGATCTACTACAATCTGAGAGAGAAGCTCTTCACTGAGGGAGACTCTCCAAAGTGACAAACTACTCTGCTGTAGCTCGATGTAAACTGTGAGAGAGTTGTTCTGTGTGAATCGGCTGCATGTGTTAAGCAGCATGAACAGCGGCTAACCTGATAAAAATATAAAGAACAAGATGGAGTTTATGTAAATATTGTGTAAATAAATGGCCCATTGTAAAATGCACCTTCCCAACTTTAACAGGATGCATCTGTTCTTATTTATTTTGCAGGCTGTTGAAATAACATTAGGTATTGTAAATGAATCAAATTAAATGAAATTTAAATAAATATTTCTTTTGATAGATATATTTCTACTGTGATATTTTTCTGTTTCATGTCCTGGTACTTGGTAATGATTAATAAAAATTTGACATGACAGCACACAACACCATAAACCTTCATTTATGATTAGAGTAGCCAAAGATTGCTTTATTATACTTTATGTTTCAGATAAAATATTAATCAACAGGATCAGACATTGTCAAGACATTGAAATAACATAACTTAAAATTCTAATAAACTTCTAAGAACAAAGGCTTCGGCCAACATTCGATCAGATTTGTTTAATAAGGAGTGAAAAGGTTAAGATGGTCAGGAAAGTAGTTTCTAAATGCAAATACATGGATGTAAAGATAATTTTTTTAAAATACACCAAAATGAGAGGACAGAGCAAGAATTTATGTTATATGCAAAAATGTGTATTTATTTATTCTATTTGGAAAGGCACCATGTGCAATATCAAACATAAATGTTAACTATTTACTGTTTTACCCCAGAGTTAGCTTGAAGCTAATTTTAATCTGCAGCATTGGCAGGTCTCAATTAAAACATCCACACAGTGATGGAACAGGACTAAACAAACTAGACAAACAATACACAGAGTAGTACATCACACACACACACACACCATTTCAGCAACATGTGCATGTATTTTAGTTTAGTTCATAATTTAATCCGACAGTAGAAATTTAGAGTTTGTCTGTTTTATAAAAGCCCAATTGGCTCTGCTTGATTTATACTGTACTGTGGGATGAAACGAAAGAAACGTATCACTTAAAAAGGACATAAAGTTTGGTAATTGCAAACTTTCGGTTTCTCTAATAACTCATCGGTGTCTGCTGCTTGACTGTGCAGTGCAGCAGGGGGTTGGGTTTTATTGTTAGAGGTGACCTGGAAAGTCCCTGCCTACCAACATGTTGTTTCTCTGACAGCAAGGCTTTTTGGAAAGTTGCCTGGTGAAATGTATCATGAACACCAAAGGTACAGTGAAGTGATACACATCAATTTGTCAAAACACCAACCCCCTCTATCGACCAAGATCAGGCTCAGCTTAGTCAACAGCACATGCCACCATTTTGTCGAGACTTGTGCGCATCAGCAAAATGGTGACCGAAGCCACGTGCCTCAGACAAGTTCGCCGTTGCTTTCTCCTTGATTGCAAGATTTTTAAAACTTCATGTTTCCTGGAAAGGTTTTGTCTCTTTCTTAAATTTACAGTCAGCTGTGTAACTGTCCTGGAGCTGGTGCACCTGCTCTGAATAAAGTGCAACTATCTAAGAGTGATTTATAAAACTATAGAGGCATGATAGACCCAGAGTGTAGGAGGAAGCTGCATAATTGACATTAGGACTTCAAACATGTCAAGTTCAAGAATTGTTTGTCTACATAACTAACTGTTCTTAACACAGAGACTTCTCAGAGCAGGTGAAAAACAAGCGTTCAAAGCAGAGTTCATCAACAGGTAATCAGTCTGTGTGGGGCAAACTAAGCAGACAAGATGCATTCAGGCAAAACCAGAAACAGGCAGGCAAGAACCAGGAACAACAGCTGGACCTTAAACGGAGTTATGTAAACTGAGGTTCAGGAACAGGACTACGCCGCTCTCACTTATTCTACCACCTGCGCTTCATTCAATTCCACCAATCAACCACCCGTACTTCACTCATTCCATCCACCTGTGCTTCTCAAATCCAATCACATGCACTCACGTATATAAGCTGTCTAACCCGTTTTCTTTCCCGTTTCTCAGTTCTCACATCCCTCCCACCCAAACCCTGCTTGTTCACCTCTTTTAATGGCACAGCAGAAGGTTCTGAGTTTAGACCTCGCTCAGCCCAGGCCTTTCTGCACAGAGTTTGCATGTTCTCCCCGCGTTTGAGTGGGTGTCCCCCGGGCGCTCCGGCTTCCTCCCACCAAGAAAGACATGCACGCTAAAACCCATAATTCAACCTAGTAATCAATTTGTCTTCTTCTACAACAGGAACCACAGGGGGGTTCATAAGACCAAGCTGCTTATCGAGACGAGCCCCCACCCTGAATCTCGACACCTCGGGTTCTTAGCCGCTTAGGCCGCCAAACCCTAAACAACCTCCTCGACCCCTTCATCCCTCTCCCCTCGACCCCTCCTTCCATAACTATTCATCATAATAAACCACTATAAAATCTAACATTGGCGTGGTCCTTGTTAGTGAACATGCCATTAGATAATCCGGCACATGACTGGAGAAAGAGGGCCGGTGACATAATGAGGGCTGGTAGGTGAGGGGCTCCGGTGACTGGTATTGAGAGAAACCACAGAGCAAGTGGGGAGTGGCATGTTTGAAAAACTGAAACGACACATTAAATACTGAAAAAACAGTTAAAAGAGCAAAAGTGTGCAAAATGACCAAACAGAAATAGCCGTTTTGCTTGTGTTGCCTACAACATTATACTGTCCTTATTACATTTATTCATTTAGCTGAAGCTTTTATCCAAAGCAACTTTCAATTGCTATATATGTCAGAGATGTCTTGTTCAGAGACACTAATGGACATGTCACAGTGGGGAACTGAACCCTGGTCTCTCACACCAAAGGCATGTGTCCAATCCACTGCAATAATGCTCTGCTGTTTACTGTTGGTGCTTATTAAAACATTTTCAAATCCCCCGGATAGACTGAAAAAATGTATGATGGTCCTGCTGACAACAAACCTATTCGTCATTGTTCTTAAAAACTTGACCGTTTGGAGATACAAGGTTTACATCAGACACAGTGACTTATCAGTAATTGTGTGCCGGCAACACAGGCAGGCGGGGACAATGTGAGAAAGCAGATGCCAAAAGTTTCCACCATCTTATGGCGGTGCCGTCAAAAACCTAAACACAAAATGGCCGACAGCCATTAGTGTTAGAGTGTGTGGAGAACTAAAGCACATAAAAGGTGATATAAAGAACTTGTGGCGTAATAGCAAAGAGTCATGTGCATCCTCAAACCTCAGCGTGCACCTACTTATATTGTACATACGTGTGTGTCTTTGGATGTGCTGTGAGGCTTTTGCCTCACCAGTTCTGCACCATACCACTGCACCACACTGCCTAGCTGGAAAGTCCCTCTCTTCTTTCTTTCACTTTCTCTCTTTATTGTTTTGTGTATTCATCGGCTGCTTGACTCAGCTCAAACCACAGCCAAGCCCAAGGTCTTGTGACTGAAAGCCTTCTGGTTATAACACTTCAACCTTTTAGGTTTGCTGCTTCTGTTGATGTTTTTCCAGGAGTTGTCACAGTGAAAACTGGAGTGTAAGCATGCTTATCTGTAATGTCTTTATTAATATGAAGACGGAGCAATGATTAGTAGTTTGGTTTGGTAGCCTTCACCAAGGACAGTATGGTTGTTGATGGAGACACGCTGTCTTTAATCTAACATGTCCTTTCAATTATTTAATTCAAAACTCTCCTTATGTAAAAGTACTGAAGTATGATCAGCAAAGTGTGCTTAAAGTATCAATACAAAGTACTTGTTTTGCTCCTGTGACTGATAAATTATTAAATAGGACATTGTTAGATTGTTAACAATCATTCTGTGCCTATGTCGCTTAGGTCATCTTCACAACCACTCCTCTCAGTACTAGCTGCTGCCTCAGGCTTTGGAAGAGTCTTCCACCTAACATTAAGTCCTGCCCCACCATCAACAACTTCAAATCTAATTTAAAGAACTACCTTTTTTCTCTAGCTTTTACCTGATTCTGACCTCTGACCCTTATTTTTAATTGTTCTCTCACAGCGATTTAATCCGACATTGTTCTTATTTATTTCCTTTTAGTTTCTTTGAATTTGATTTTAACCAAGTACTCCATAGTCCTTTTATTGATGTGTACAGGTGTACTAGTGTTGTTTTGTGTATGTGGATACATAATGGTATAAACTTTTTGTTTGTGTATACTTTTATATATATTTTATGTATATTTTTGTTTGTGTTGGGTCAACACCTGTTGGTTTTAAATGTGCTATAGAAATAAAGTTGACTTGACTTAATACTGATCTATCAATTTGTAATTAGCATTTTACCGATGTAGCTGGTGGAGGTAGAGCTTGTTTCAGCTATTGTGTGTACAGTTTAAATAGAGGAAATCACTGCCAACAACTCATAGTCATCTCAGATATCTTAAAAGGCCACAACTAGACACCATTTTATTGTAAGGGGTCACAAGCAAAAAGGTCAGAAACAACTGGTTTAATCTGTGTTAAATTTTATAAACTGATCATATGTTTTTTAATGTAACATCTTAATCTGTAAAGTAACTAATAACTACTCCTGCAAATGTACATGCTAAATGTAAATGCTCTCTTTGAGCTGCAACTAACAAGTCTTGAAAACAGACATCCTTTAATTTGGTCAGGTATTAAACAGAATGAAACTTTTAAACATTTTAAGCCCTGTTATATATTTTATATTGTATTTTCTGTCATTGGAACACTTTAGTTGGTTGGTACAACAGCCAATAATAAATAATTAACTAGTTCCTCTGTGATCAAAATTGCACCATGCTAGGAGGAAAAAGAGTGACTTGACTCTTTTACAGCTTCACTGTAACACAATACTTGCTTCTCTTCTCCTATTTAAACCAAAAGTGATAAAGGAACTGATGCAGCATGAAGCACAACAGATATGACACCAATGTAGCTTCTTTTCCACACCTAATTTAATTTAGTTTGACAAATGAGTTTGCAGCAGGACTACAAAAGACAAGGCAAACATATAAC